GAACGGATGGGGTAGACGGGAACGGTTGGGGTAGACGGGAACGGTTGGGGTAGACGGGAACGGCTGGGGTAGACGGGAACGGTTGGGGTAGACGGGAACGGTTGGGGTAGACGGGAACGGTTGGGGTAGACGGGAACAGTTAGGGTAGACGGGAACGGTTGGGGTAGACGGGAACGGTTGGGGTAGACGGGAACGGTTGGGGTAGACGGGAACGGTTGGGGTAGACGGGAACGGTTGGGGTAGACGGGAACGGTTGGGGTAGACGGGAACGGCTGGGGTAGACGGGAACGGCTGGGGTAGACGGGAACGGCTGGGGTAGACGGGAACGGCTGGGGTAGACGGGAACGGTTGGGGTAGACGGGAACGGCTGGGGTAGACGGGAACGGCTGGGGTAGACGGGAACGGCTGGGGTAGACGGGAAAGGCTGGCGTAGACGGGAACAGCTGGCGTAGACGAGAGCGGCTGGGGTAGACGGGAAAGGCTGGCGTAGACGAGAGCGGCTGGGGTAGACGGGAACGGCTGGGGTAGACGGGAACGGCTGGGGTAGACGGGAACGGCTGGGGTAGACGGGAACGGCCTGACCTGGTACAACGGTGACAGGAAGATATACTGACCTGGAACAACAGTGACGAAGATATACTGACCTGGAACAACGGTGACGAAGATATACCGACCTGGATCAACGGTGACGAAGATATACTGACCTGGAACAACAGTGACGAAGATATACTGACCTGGAACAACGGTGACAAAGATATACTGACCTGGATCAACGGTGACGAAGATATACTGACCTGGAACAACGGTGACGAAGATATACTGACCTGGATCAACGGTGACGGGAAGATATACTGACCTGGATCAACGGTGACGGGAAGATATACTGACCTGGATCAACGGTGACAAAGATATACTGACCTGGAACAACGGTGACAAAGATATACTGACCTGGAACAACGGTGACAAAGATATACTGACCTGGAACAACGGTGACAAAGATATACTTACCTGGAACAACGGTGACGGGAAGATATACTGACCTGGAACAACGGTGACGGGAAGATATACTGACCTGGAACAACGGTGACGGGAAGATATACTGACCTGGAACAACGGTGACAAAGATATACTGACCTGGAACAACGGTGACGGGAAGATATACTGACCTGGAACAACGGTGACGGGAACATATACTGACCTGGAACAACAGAGGCGGAAACTAACGGCAGGAATCGTTAGAAACATCATTACTTCCCCTTTGACAAGCCTTCTCACCTTTAATTAATTTGGAGACGAACGCTGTGTATATAGGATCGGACTTCAACTCCTGGGCCCCGCCACTCCAGCTGCTGGTCGCCGCCTCCTGCTAGGTGAAGGAGTACTTTGTAATGTTTCTATGGCTCAGTTCTCTCTCCTTTTCACTCTTTCCTACTTTCCGTTAGTCCTCTTCCCGTCTCCGCACTCAGCGGGACAACAGTCTGCTTGATCAGTGACACTTGGGTCATGTAGTTATTTGTGGGTCCTGGGAGAGGGTGTGACGGGGCCCCTCAGGGTCCTGGGAGAGGGTGTGACGGGGCCCCTCAGGGTCCTGGGAGAGGGTGTGACGGGGCCCCTCAGGGTCCTGGGAGAGGGTGTGACGGGGCCCCTCAGGGTCCTGGGAGAGGGTGTGACGGGGCCCCTCAGGGCCCTGGGAGAGGGTGTGACGGGGCCCCTCAGGGTCCTGGGAGAGGGTGTGACGGGGCCCTCAGGGTCCTGGGAGAGGGTGTGACGGCGCCCCTCAGGGTCCTGGGAGAGGGTGTGACGGGGCCCCTCAGGGTCCTGGGAGAGGGTGTGACGGGGCCCCTCAGGGGTCCTGGGAGAGGGTGTGACGGGGCCCCTCAGGGGTCCTGGGAGAGGGTGTGACGGGGCCCCTCAGGGGTCCTGGGAGAGGGTGTGACGGGGCCCCTCAGGGGTCCTGGGAGAGGGTGTGACGGGGCCCCTCAGGGTCCTGGGAGAGGGTGTGACGGGGCCCCTCAGGGTCCTGGGAGAGGGTGTGACGGGGCCCCTCAGGGGTCCTGGGAGAGGGTGTGACGGGGCCCCTCAGGGGTCCTGGGAGAGGGTGTGACGGGGCCCCTCAGGGGTCCTGGGAGAGGGTGTGACGGGGCCCTCAGGGGTCCTGGGAGAGTTTGTGACGGGGCCCCTCAGGGGTCCTGGGAGAGGGTGTGACGGGGCCCCTCAGGGTCCTGGGAGAGGGTGTGACGGGGCCCCTCAGGGGTCCTGGGAGAGGGTGTGACGGGGCCCCTCAGGGGTCATGGGAGAGGGTGTGACGGGGCCCTCAGGGGTCCTGGGATAGGGTGTGACGGGGCCCCTCAGGGGTCCTGGGATAGGGTGTGACGGGGCCCCTCAGGGGTCCTGGGAGAGGGTGTGACGGGGCCCCTCAGGGTCCTGGGAGAGGGTGTGACGGGGCTCCTCAGGGGTCCTGGGAGAGGGTGTGACGGGGCCCCTCAGGGGTCCTGGGAGAGGGTGTGACGGGGCCCCTCAGGGGTCCTGGGAGAGGGTGTGACGGGGCCCTCAGGGGTCCTGGGAGAGGGTGTGACGGGGCCCCTCAGGGTCCTGGGAGAGGGTGTGACGGGGCCCCTCAGGGGTCCTGGGAAAGGGTGTGACGGGGCCCCTCAGGGTCCTGGGAGAGGGTGTGACGGGGCCCCTCAGGGGTCCTGGGAGAGGGTGTGACGGGGCCCCTCAGGGGTCCTGGGAGAGGGTGTGACGGGGCCCCTCAGGGGTCCTGGGATAGGGTGTGACGGGGCCCCTCAGGGGTCCTGGGAGAGGGTGTGACGCGGCCCCTCAGGGTCCTGGGAGAGGGTGTGACGGGGCCCCTCAGGGTCCTGGGAGAGGGTGTGACGGGGCCCCTCAGGGTCCTGGGAGAGGGTGTGACGGCGCCCCTCAGGGGTCCTGGGAGAGGGTGTGACGGGGCCCCTCAGGGGTCCTGGGAGAGGGTGTGACGGGGCCCCTCAGGGGTCCTGGGAGAGGGTGTGACGGGGCCCCTCAGGGGTCCTGGGAGAGGGTGTGACGGCGCCCCTCAGGGTCCTGGGAGAAGGTGTGACGGGGCCCCTCAGGGTCCTGGGAGAGGGTGTGACGGGGCCCCTCAGGGTCCTGGGAGAGGGTGTGACGTGGCCCTCAGGGCCCTGGGAGAGGGTGTGACGTGGCCCTCAGGGCCCTGGGAGAGGGTGTGACGTGGCCCCTCAGGGACCTAAAGGAGGTGAAGCGTGTCCCTAAAGACCGGCCCTGCCCTTGGAGGAATAGGGGGGGCGAGGCTGGAGGGGGGAGTGTGTAGCGGGGCCGTGATCAATGTTTCTGGCACCATCACCCTTCGCAATGCAGTTCGGGACAAGCGGATTATCTACACATCCCGAATCCGGAAGAGCAAGTTTCTGGGGGAAATGGGGGAGGGTGGGGAGGACGGTGTTCTATTTTTCATCCCATTAACCCATAAATCTACTAAATTTCAATTTTCGGACGTTCGAAAACCCTGCCCTTCGAGCCGATATTCCTGAGCATTCGTACCCCTGTTATTCGGACCCTATCGAGTCCGTACACTCGATAGCGAGTGTACGGACTCTCCAGCAAGACTGAAAGCGAATCCGTTGTTGCTTAAGCGAACGATTTCTGGTAACCGGACATCCCCAGCCGTTGCTGGAGTCGTTTGAGTGCATGGTGTGTGTGTGAGCTTGTATCATTTCCAGAGGCCAGACGCTCTAATGACTCAATCCCTCTCTCTACTGTTAATTTGTAGCTACGATGCTGTTGAACGGGTGATGTGGCGGCTGGCTGGTTCTGTTGGTCGGAGGTCCATCTGTTAAACTCTCAGAGTACTGTTGTTTGTACTGGTTGTTGGTAAACAGATACAACAGTTCAAAGTTGTATTTGGTCTGTTGGTAAACCTCTTGTATCTTGTATTTGGTCTGTTATTAAACCCCCTTGTATTCACCCTGCTAGTAACTAGGGTTGTATTCACCCTGCTAGTAACTAGGGTTGTATTCACCCTGCTAGTAACTAGGGTTGTATTCACCCTGCTAGTAACTAGGGTTGTATTCACCCTGCTAGTAACTAGGGTTGTATTCACCCTGCTAGTAACTAGGGTTGTATTCACCCTGCTAGTAACTAGGGTTGTATTCACCCTACTGATAACTAGGGTTGTACTCACCCTGCAGCGCCTTTACTGAAATCGATTGAATTCACAGTTTAATTATCTGCGATACTAAGATATCATCACTGGAATGGGCTTGAGAATGTTGAAGTGAGGAGAGGTCGTCTCTCTCTCTGAGAGAGAGAGAGAGAGAGAGAGAGAGAGAGAGAGAGAGAGAGAGAGAGAGAGAGAGAGAGAGAGAGAGAGAGAGAGAGAGAGAGAGAGAGAGAGAGAGAGAGAGAGAGAGAGGACTCAGAAATAAGAGGTCGGGCCCAAAATCGAAACCCTTCGTCTTCATCTCCTGGTGAGCAGCATCCACGCCGGCATCTTGCAGCATCCACGCCGGCATCTTGCAGCATCCACGCCGGCATCTTGCACCATCCACGCCGGCATCTTGCAGCATCCACGCCGGCATCATGCAGCATCCACGCCGGCATCTTGCAGCATCCACGCCGGCATCTTGCACCATCCACGCCGGCATCTTGCAGCATCCACACCGGCATCTTGCAGCATCCACGCCGGCATCATGCAGCATCCACACCGGCATCTTGCAGCATCCACGCCGGCATCTTGCAGCATCCACGCCGGCATCTTGCACCATCCACGCCGGCATCTTGCACCATCCACGCCGGCATCTTGCACCATCCACGCCGGCATCATGCACCATCCACGCCGGCATCTTGCACCATCCACGCCGGCATCATGCACCATCCACGCCGGCATCTTACACTATCCACGCCGGCATCATGCACCATCCACGCCGGCATCTTACACTATCCACGCCGGCATCTTGGAGCACACACGAACACGTTCTTCTCACGTTCCTTGCAATCCTCCTTCACGCCAGCGTTGCATATTCCCTTGCAGGATACCTAGTCTGACGTTCCTTAGTCTGACGTTCCTTAGTCTGACGTTCCTTAGTCTGACGTTCCTTAGTCTGACGTTTCTTAGTCTGACGTTCCTTAGTCTGACGTTTCTTAGTCTGACGTTCCTTAGTCTGACGTTCCTTAGTCTGACGTTCCTTAGTCTGACGTTCCTTAGTCTGATGTTCCTTAGTCTGACGTTTCTTAGTCTGACGTTCCTTAGTCTGACGTTTCTTAGTCTGACGTTCCTTAGTCTGACGTTCCTTAGTCTGATGTTCCTTAGTCTGACGTTCCTTAGTCTGACGTTTCTTAGTCTGACGTTCCTTAGTCTGACGTTTCTTAGTCTGACGTTCCTTAGTCTGATGTTCCTTAGTCTGGCGTTCCTTAGTCTGACGTTCCTTAGTCTGACGTTCCTTAGTCTGACGTTTCTTAGTCTGACGTTCCTTAGTCTGACGTTCCTTAGTCTGACGTTTCTTAGTCTGACGTTCCTTAGTCTGACGTTCTTTAGTCTGACGTTCCTTAGTCTGACGTTCCTTAGTCTGATGTTCCTTAGTCTGACGTTTCTTAGTCTGACGTTCCTTAGTCTGACGTTCCTTAGTCTGACGTTCTTTAGTCTGACGTTCCTTAGTCTGACGTTCCTTAGTCTGACGTTCTTTAGTCTGACGTTCTTTAGTCTGACGTTCCTTAGTCTGACGTTCCTTAGTCTGGCTTCACCTACGACGTTCCTTCTCTCGTCATGGCCTATTATCATCACGTTTCTCATGTCGGCATATTTCTCAGGATATCCCCCTGTTCCTTCATTTGTCTTTCCTTATTCCCTCGGGCGTTCCTGTTCCTTCACGGCGTTCCTGTTCCTTCACGGCGTTCCTGTTCCTTCACGGCGTTCCTGTTCCTTCACGGCGTTCCTGTTCCTTCACGGCGTTCCTGTTCCTTCACGGCGTTCCGTTCCTTCACGGCGTTCCTGTTCCTTCACGGCGTTCCTGTTCCTTCACGGCGTTCCTGTTCCTTCACGGCGTTCCTGTTCCTTCACGGCGTTCCTGTTCCTTCACGGCGTTCCTGTTCCTTCACGGCGTTCCTGTTCCTTCACGGCGTTCCTGTTCCTTCACGGCGTTCCTGTTCCTTCACGGCGTTCCTGTTCCTTCACGGCGTTCCTGTTCCTTCACGGCGTTCCGGTTCCTTCACGGCGTTCCGGTTCCTTCACGGCGTTCCTGTTCCTTCACGGCGTTCCTGTTCCTTCACGGCGTTCCTGTTCCTTCACGGCGTTCCTGTTCCTTCACGGCGTTCCTGTTCCTTCACGGCGTTCCTGTTCCTTCACGGCGTTCCTGTTCCTTCACGGCGTTCCTGTTCCTTCACGGCGTTCCTGTTCCTTCACGGCGTTCCTGTTCCTTCACGCGTTCCTGTTCCTTCACGGCGTTCCTGTTCCTTCACGGCGTTCCTGTTCCTTCACGGCGTTCCTGTTCCTTCACGGCGTTCCTGTTCCTTCACGGCGTTCCTGTTCCTTCACGGCGTTCCTGTTCCTTCACGGCGTTCCTTGTTGCTCTGGGTGTTCCTTCCTTCTCCCGGGCGTTCCTTGTTGCTCTGGGTGTTCCTTCCTTCTCCCGGGCGTTCCTTGAGGCCTTTCTTGCACCTTTGGTTATTCCTCATTCCATAATGGTTCATTCTCATTCCACTAGTAAGGTTAGGTTATTAAGAAGATTGGCTCGTCATAGGAAAGGGGGGGGGGGAGGTCCTCATATTCCTAACATGAATCGGGGGGGTGGGGATACCCCTTCCGTCTCCATCTCGCTTCATGCAGGTCGGCGTTCAATCCCCGACCGTCCAAGTTGTTGGGCACCATCCCTTTCCCCCCGTCCCATCCCAAATCCTTATCCTGACCCGTTCCGAGTGTTATATAGTCGTAATGGCTTGGCGCTTTTCCCCCGATAATTCCCATTCCCCAACCTTCCCTCCCTGTTCCTATAACCTTCCCTCCCTGTTCCTATAACCTTCCCCTTCCCTTTCCCTTTCCTTCCACCTTTCCCTCCACTTTCTTTAGCCACCCTTTCCACCCTCCTCCTTTCCTCCAGAATCACCCATAGCGTCTGCACACGGGCTGTATGTAACAGGGGAAGGGGGAGTGTGTGGGAGAGGTGGAAGAGTGGAGGGGGGAGGGGGACAACAGGACGCGAGTACAAATCATATTCATGTAGCTGCCAGTGACTCCTGTTTTATGGGGCGACCAGTCGACGGAGTCTTGCCTCATCCTGTTCAAAGTACCATTAAACTGTTGGGATATGGAGAGAGTTTAAGTATATTAATGGGGGGGGGGATGGGTAGCTTTTACCCACGCTGAGAGTCAGGTAGGTGAGTCAACTGGTGTGAGGGACTCACTGTGTAGTGAGGCAGCTCTCTCTATAAAGAAAATGCAGAATAGAACCAGTGAAGAGCAGAGGTGCCATAGGCACAATCAGAGAACTGTATAAACATCAGAGGTCCGCGGCTGTTCAACGTCCTCCCAGCAAGCATAAGAAATATTGCCGGACCAACCGTGGACATCTTCAAGAGAAAACTAGATAGTTTCCTCCAAGGAGTGCCGGACCAACCGGGCTGTGGTGGGTATGTGGGCCTGCGGGCCGCTCCAAGCAACAGCCTGGTGGACCAAGCTCTCACAAGTCAAGCCTGGCCTCGGGCCGGGCTTGGGGAGTAGAACAACTCCCAGAACCCCATCAACCAGGTATCTCTCTCTCTCCCTGTCAATAGGGGAAAGACGGAATTATATATTTCCTGGTTGGAGTTGTAATTTTGTTTTGTAAACAGCTCGATCAGCACTAGAAAATATTCTAAATTACAAAAGGGTCTCGAACCCTGTCATGTCATCATTTCGACCCGTTATTGTGGCTCTTTCAGCCACTTTAATATTTTTTTCTGCTACTATGACACAAATATATTTTCCTAATTCCTTTTTTTCTTTATGCTCATTTTGACATTTTGTTCCCATTATCCAGAAGATGACTTATTCAAGATTTTATAGTTTCTTTGTATATTCATTTTTTTGTATTACAAGTATCTCCTCATTTTTGTAACTAACATATCTCCTTATCATATTCTTATATACCTGCGTCGTTCTCTTGAAGCTTAACTATGTGATCACCTAAAGTGTTATTGCTTCAATTATGACTATGGAAGAGAATAGGGTTGTGCCATAGCTTGTGGAGCTATGTAGCGTTCATGAGGTTTGTCTTGTGGGAGAGAATAAGAGGGAAGGAGGGAGAGGGAGAGGGAGAGGGAGGGAGGGAGGGAGGGAGGGAGGGAGGGAGGGAGAGGGAGAGAGAGAGAGAGAGAGAGAGAGAGAGAGGAGAGAGAGAGAGAGAGAGAGAGGGAGAGAGGGAGAGAGAGAGAGAGGGAGAGAGGGAGAGAGAGAGGGAGAGAGGGAGAGAGAGGAGAGAGGGGAGAGGGAGAGAGAGAGGGGGAGAGAGAGAGAGGGAGAGGGAGAGGGAGGGAGGGAGGGAGGGAGGGAGGGAGGGGGGAGGGAGGGAGGGAGGGAGGGAGGGAGAGAGAGAGAGAGAGAGTGAGGAGGAGGAGGACTTGAAGTAGGAAGAAGTGGGGTGAAAAGAGGAACTTACTCCTAATGTGTGTTTGACTGATCGAGTGTTGCATGTGAGCACAAGAACACGGGGGCAAGAGAGGTGTGAGGACCTGTGAGCACAAGAGCACGGGGGCAAGAGAGGTGTGAGGACCTGTGAGCACAAGAACACGGGGGGCAAGAGAGGTGTGAGGACCTGTGAGCACAAGAGCACGGGGGCAAGAGAGGTGTGAGGACCTGTGAGCACAAGAGCACGGGGGCAAGAGAGGTGTGAGGACCTGTGAGCACAAGAGCACGGGGGCAAGAGAGGTGTGAGGACCTGTGAGCACAAGAACACGGGGGGCAAGAGAGGTGTGAGGACCTGTGAGCACAAGAGCACGGGGGGCAAGAGAGGTGTGAGGACCTGTGAGCACAAGAGCACGGGGGCAAGAGAGGGTGTGAGGACCTGTGAGCACAAGAACACGGGGGGCAAGAGAGGTGTGAGGACCTGTGAGCACAAGAACACTGGGGGCAAGAGAGGCGTGAGGACCTGTGAGCACAAGAACACTGGGGGCAAGAGAGGTGTGTGAGGACCTGTGAGCACAAGAACACTGGGGGCAAGAGAGGTGTGAGGACCTGTGAGCACAAGAACACGGGGGGCAAGAGAGGTGTGAGGACCTGTGAGCACAAGAACACTGGGGGCAAGAGAGGTGTGAGGACCTGTGAGCACAAGAGCACGGGGGCAAGAGAGGTGTGAGGACCTGTGAGCACAAGAAACACGGGGGGCAAGAGAGGTGTGAGGACCTGTGAGCACAAGAGCACGGGGGGCAAGAGAGGTGTGAGGACCTGTGAGCACAAGAACACGGGGGGCAAGAGAGGTGTGAGGACCTGTGAGCACAAGAACACGGGGGCAAGAGAGGTGTGAGGACCTGTGAGCACAAGAAACACGGGGGGCAAGAGAGGTGTGAGGACCTGTGAGCACAAGAACACGGGGGCAAGAGAGGTGTGAGGACCTGTGAGCACAAGAACACGGGGGGCAAGAGAGGTGTGAGGACCTGTGAGCACAAGAACACTGGGGGCAAGAGAGGTGTGAGGACCTGTGAGCACAAGAGCACGGGGGCAAGAGAGGTGTGAGGACCTGTGAGCACAAGAACACGGGGGGCAAGAGAGGTGTGAGGACCTGTGAGCACAAGAACACGGGGGGCAAGAGAGGTGTGAGGACCTGTGAGCACAAGAGCACGGGGGGCAAGAGAGGTGTGAGGAGCGAGGAAGCAGTCGTGTCACCATTTATCAGTGACGACCATCAAACTGCATTGACAGTGAGTGAGTCAGGTCGAGGAGGAGGGTGAGAGTGAGAGGAGTGGAGGGACCGGGATAGGGAATGTTGGAGGGCTGGGATGCCAGAGATACGGGACAGGCAACGGAACCTGTGAGGGATGAGGTACCTCATGATGATAAGGTACCTCATGATGATAAGGTACCTCATGATGATGAGGTACCTCATGATGATAAGGTACCTCATGATGATAAGGTATCTCATGATGATAAGGTACCTCATGATGATGAGGTACCTCATGATGATGAGGTACCTCATGATGATGAGGTACCTCATGATGATGAGGTACCTCATGATGATGAGGTACCTCATGATGATGAGGTACCTCATGATGATGAGGTACCTCATGATGATGAGGTACCTCATGATGATAAGGTAGGTCATGATGATAAGGTACCTCATGATGATAAGGTAGGTCATGATGATGAGGTACCTCATGATGATGAGGTAGGTCATGATGATGAGGTACCTCATGATGATGAGGTACCTCATGATGATAAGGTAGGTCATGATGAGGTACCTCATGATGATGAGGTACCTCATGATGATGAGGTACCTCATGATGATGAGGTACCTCATGATGATGAGGTACCTCATGATGATGAGGTACCTCATGATGATGAGGTACCTCATGATGATGAGGTACCTCATGATGATAAGGTAGGTCATGATGAGGGTACCTCATGATGATGAGGTACCTCATGATGATGAGGTATCTCATCATTATGGGTGGAGGGATAAAAGGATAGAGTGAAGGATAGTGCGAAGGATAGGGTGAGAAAAGGACACACTCACCCCATTAGCCATGAATCAATGAGAAGGGAAACTGGACCATCAGTATAGGGTATTTCGCTGGTGTGTATATATATATATATATATATATATATATTATATATATATATATATATACACACACAACTTTAGAACACTTTCCCACAGGAGACTCGAACCCTAGCCAGCACAGAAGCCTTAAAGCAACTGGCATAAACAGGTACGCCTTAACCCGCTCCACCACCTGCTCAGACCCTTAAAGAGATGGTAATTTTGGAGTATTTATATACCCCAAAGATCACCACCTCCCAAGAGCACTAGAGCAAGTGAGGGGTCATTATACGTTTATTTCATCAAGTCCCTGTTAATATGGGAGAACACTGGTCTATGAACTTAAGGCACAACTCTCCTAAACACGAGAGTGAAGTATACAACTTTAGAACACTTTAACATAACATAACTTTAATATTAACAGGGACTTGATGAAATAAACGTATAAATGACCCCTCACTTGCTCTAGTGCTCTTGGGAGGTGGTGATCTTTGGGGTATATAAATACTCCGAAATTACCATCTCTTTAAGGGTCTGAGCAGGTGGTGGAGCGGGTTAAGGCGTACCTGTTATGCCAGTTGCTGGAAGGCTTCTGTGCTGGCTAGGGTTTCGAGTCTCCTGGTGGGAAAGTGTTCTAAAGTTGTATACTTCACTCTCGTGTTTAGGAGAGTTGTGCCTTAAGTTCATAGACACAGTGTTCTCCCATATTAACAGGGACTTGATGAAATAAACGTATAAAGACCCCTCACTTGCTCTAGTGCTCTTGGGAGGTGGTGATCTTTGGGGTATATAAATACTCCGAAATTACCATCTCTTTAAGGGTCTGAGCAGGTGGTGGAGGCGGGTTAAGGCGTACCTGTTATGCCAGTTGCTGGAAGGCTTCTGTGCTGGCTAGGGTTCGAGTCTCCTGGTGGGAAAGTGTTCTAAAGTTGTATACTTCACTCTCGTGTTTAGGAGAGTTGTGCCTCATATATATATATATATATATATATATATATATATATATATATTAATATATTATACCAGAAACATATCCCCATGCAATGTCATTTGAAAATAGGATAAATTAGTCAATACAACATATGAATATGTATGGAATATATATATTTGCAGCGAGCCAGGTTAGGTTTGTATGGTTTAAATTGACGCTATGAATATGTGATCACATGTATCACTGTATTTCACGCCCATTATTCAGTTTAGTCATATTTGCCTGTAATTTACCTGTAGTGTGTATCTAGAGTCCTTCTAGGCCACATTTCTCCCCCCTCCTTTAGCCCGGCCGAAGTTCTTGGGCAAAGCTGATATATGAGGAACCTTTCCTTATTAAGACGACTCAATAGCTCAGTCGATGGAGCTTCGGTCTCGCATGCGTGGGGTCCAGGGTTCGAGTCTCCTAGAGCCCAGGTGAATGGAATGATTTACGAGACTGTTGGTGGAAGCGGCCTCGTAGCCCTAAATTACAACCTGCTGTCTGCTTGGCTGAATATTTCTTTGTGTAAAAAAGAATGTAGTTGGAATATATTTTATCAATGCTCAGTCTTCGGAGTATTGGTCTGCTGTGTTACTGTAGCTTGGACTTGGTCTGCTGTGTTACTGTAGCTTGGACTTGGTCTGCTGTATCACTGTAGCTTGGACTTGGTCTGCTGTATCACTGTAGCTTGGACTTGGTCTGTTGTATCACTGTAGCTTGGACTTGGTCTGCTGTGGTACTGTAGCTTGGACTTGGTCTGCTGTGTTACTGTAGCTTGGACTTGGTCTGCTGTATCACTGTAGCTTGGACTTGGTCTGTTGTATCACTGTAGCTTGGACTTGGTCTGTTGTATCACTGTAGCTTGGACTTGGTCTGCTGTGGTACTGTAGCTTGGACTTGGTCTGCTGTGTTACTGTAGCTTGGACTTGGTCTGCTGTGTTACTGTAGCTTGGACTTGGTCTGCTGTGTTACTGTAGCTTGGACTTGGTCTGCTGTGTTACTGTAGCTTGGACTTGGTCTGCTGTGTTACTGTAGCTTGGACTTGGTCTGCTGTGTTACTGTAGCTTGGACTTGGTCTGCTGTGTTACTGTAGCTTGGACTTAGTCTGCTGTATCACTGTAGCTTGGACTTGGTCTGTTGTATCACTGTAGCTTGGACTTGGTCTGCTGTATCACTGT